GTCCGCGTGTGGAGGGTGGCCCGGCGACCCCGCGAGGCGGAGGTGCTGCAGGGAGGCAGCCGGGGTGATGCCCCTCACTTGCCGTCCCTGCGGGGCTTTTGCAGAGCCGGGGTGGTGGCGGTGGCTGAGCACGTGTCCCCTTGCTCACCTTCTCCCATGCCACGGGGGGCATCACGCTGCCGGGGTCCATGGACACGCAGAGGATCCCGCTGCTGCCATACTCCAGGGACAGGCACTTGGTGAGCATGTTCAGAGCGGCCTGGGGGCAGGGGGAGCGTTACTGTCACCGTCACCATGGCTGGGGGCAGTCCCACCATGAGACCACCGCGGGCGTCCCCCAGGGGACAGGAGAGTTGAGCCAGCAAGGGGCTGCACAGAGGGACGTGAGCTGAGCAAAGGCGGGGGGGGCCTGAGAGCCAGGAGCACCTTCTGGCAGGGCAGTGCTGGAAGAGCTGAGCGAGGAAGGATCGTGGGAGTCGGGGGTGATGGGACACAGGAGAACAGCTCCCACATCTGTGAAATGTGCTATTAGGAGGAGTGGGGTGAAACTGGCCAAAAAAGTGGGGCCTTTGGGCAGGAAAAGTGTGGGACCTGAGCTGCAGCAGGATCAGCTGGTGCCTGGTGAATCTGCCACCCGTCTCTGCAGTGACGGGGCCCGGCTAGGACAGATCCTGCCGAAGGTGACCCAGGGCCTGTTCTAGGCACAGCGGGTCAAGGGAAAGCTGGGGTAGCACTAGAGGGACTCTGTGAGCCCTGGGGCCGCACGAGTGAGCGAGCCCTGAGGCTTCCTCCCCATCCGCCCGGTGGCAGTACCTTGCTGCAACGGTAGCAGACGTCTTGTCTCTGCTCCCAGGCTTCACCCGCTTCGATGGAGCCCAGGATGCTGGAGATGTTCACGATGGCGGCTTTGCTGCAGCTCATGCCGCTCCGGCTGTTAGCCTGGGCAGCCTCCTTCAGCAGGGGCAGGAAGCCCTGCGGGCATACGGGGTGCCCAGCTCTGAGTGGGCATCGGTGGCCCAGCTTGCACAGACGGCAGGGAACGCGCCTTCCCCAGCCTCACCACCGCAGCGGGGTCATCACATCTCCGAGAGCTTGGTGGGAGGGACCCCTTATCTGAGCTTTTTGGGATGCCTATGGGGATGTTGTCCCCCGTGGGCCATGGCCTTACCTGGTTGATCTGCAGAGGCCCGATGGTGTTGGTCGTGTACGTGAGCATCATGTTCTCCACGGTCTCGGTCTCCAGGGTGCTTTGCCGCGTGGTGCTGGCGTTGTTAATCAGGAGATTGAGGCCAGCACCTTGCACATGCTCCTCCACCACCTTGACTGCGGCCTTTATGCTGTTGGGGTCTGTGGTATCTATACGCCCCCCCCACCCCCCAACCGAGAAGCGAGGGATCACAAGCAGCCCGGCAGCAGAGCCATCTCCCAGCTGGACCCCTGCCTGGAGTCCTTAAACCGAAGCAGCATGGCTCCTGGCCTCGGGGAAGCCTCCCAGTCCCAGCAGCAAAGGCCAGGTTTGGCTTAGTGCGAGCGACAGCCCCAAGCCCTCCCGGTCCCTATGTGGACTGCTTGATATGGGGCAAAATCAAGGGGTTTTGGCAGAGCAGCCCCAACACCTACCTAGAGGCAGGACCACGACATTGGGGCAGCCCAAAGCCATCTCATTTATAGCCTAAAAGGAGAGAGGTTCACAGAATCACAGAATCACAGAATCATTTAGGTTGGATGGGACCTCTGCAGATCATCTAGTCCAACCTCCCTGCTCAAGCAGGGACCTCTAGAGCATATTGCCCAGGATCACATCCAGACGGGTTCGGTCATGGAGGGGGGCTCGGCAGCGCTGCAGCTCAGGTTTGGTGGCTCAGCTCCCCACTGCTGCCCCCTCCGTCCCTGCGCCTTCATCCTGGGGGATTTTGGTGCCCGTTTGGAGGAAGGGTGCTTGGCACCGGCCTGCCCAGGGCTGGGCGCACGCCTCGGCTCGGCGCGCCGTGGGCCAA